CACTCAACTGGTATGATTGAATTGAAATATAACAGGTAAGTAGAAATTGAGTTTATTGAGGCACAATAACGTAGATATTGCTCAAAACAATATATAAGCACATTATAGCACCTCTATGGTTTTGTAAAAGATCAAATTTTTAGTAGATTATAATAAAAGTTGATAAAATATGCAGTTGAAAAGTTGATAAAAATTGTAGGTTTCATGAAACGTGTGGTTATAATTAATTATTGATTTTAATTTTAATTTTTATCAATTATTTTAAGTAAAACAAAAAAGAACTTAAGCTTCTATTTTAAATGACTCTCACGACTAATGCTTTCGGAGAATAAAAATTTACCGACCACGGTCACACTGCAACTTCAATGACCAATTCAACAACTCAATATGTCCCTATTTGGTACCGCTAAAAAATTCATTAAAATTTAAGTTAAAGTCAATCATTAATTTTAATAACATATTTCATATGACCTAAAATTTTTGATCACGCATTTCATGAACTTTTATTAAAATTTACTATAAATCTGATTTTAATTTATAACAAACAAAGACAATAGAAAAATTTAAAGTCCGAATAACTTCGATTTTTCTTTGACTACTATACTAGCCAATCTGAGTTGACTACGAGCTAGGAAACCTATTAAGCTTTAGCCAATTAGCCCTCTAGACACAACAAACGATACTGAAATTCACTTAAAAACACGCATAATATGTCAATAAAATTGAAGTTAAAGAGTAAAATAATTCTAGAAATTATAAATAATATTTGGATTGATAGCAGAAAATCCCCCTAAAAATGTTTTTATATGCAATATACCATCTACCTATAGAAAGTCGCAAAAAAAACCTCATTGTTTAAAACCTTTTATGCAAAATACCCTCCTACTATCAAGATCCATTAAATTACCTTTAAAAAAAAGCCTAAATTTAAAAAAAAATAAAAAATTGTAGTTGTGGTATCCAAATTTTTTTTTTTAAATGCAAATTATACCTAAATTTGGCTAAACATAATCCCAAATCTTTAAAACTTTATCTTCTTCCCTCCCCACCACTTCATCTTTTTCCCCACCTTGAACCAATACCCATATTCAACTAGATTTTTTTTTTTTTTTTTTTTTAAATTTGGCAAGTTCAATCTTCCTGCGATCCAAAAAACTAGCTAACTAGTTAGGTATTTTAAATTGGTTCCCTAACATTCTGCTTTTAACTTGAAGAATTATACATTGATGATTTCGCAGAAGTGAAAGAAGTACAAGTAAATTCAAAATAATAAGGGGTTTTATACAAAAGCTTTGAAAGGAAAAGTTAAGAATAAAATAAAAATCTCAAACTTTGTATGTTTCTCTCTTCACTTTGGCGAGATCTTTGATTTTTGGTCAACTAACAAAGAACCTAATGGTTTTGTTAATTTGGACATAAAATGCGAGTTTTTAAAAGGTTTAGTAATGGGGGTGCCACAAATTAAAAATTTGGATCAAGCTTGCATAAAAGTGAAATGTTTGGTATCATGGCTGGAATTTTCCCTTTATTAAATAAAAATTTGAACTAGAGTGATTAACTGAAAATTCAGACATGAAAATTTAATAATATTGTAATTATGAAGTGTGAACTAAGCATGATTTATGGGAACCTTCAACACAATTAACTATTTAAAAGTGGAGCCCTTGAAGAGGACATGACAAATAAATGTGAACCTTCAACACAATTAAAAATTTAAAAGTGGAGCCCTTGAAGAGGACATGACAAATAAATGTAACAATAATAATTTTCTCAGTTATAAAAATTAAAATGGTATGTATTAATGTCGTAGTCATTCTATTAATCAAGGGATTATCAGAAATATGTCTTTTTCTTTGTTTACATCATTACATGGAGTGTCACAAGAAATATACTTGACAAACATGATTTTAAACATACCTAAATGCTGTAGATAAATCGTGCGAATGTATAAAGTTTATACATTAGAAAGTGTTGAGAGGAATAACTCGGACTCTTAACGGTGTAAACCACGGTCTAGAGCAATATCAGTTCACAAAATGAATCAATAATTTGCGCGAAAATGGGGTCAGGTTCCAAGAACGGTAAGTCTTCATTCAAAATCTACCAAAATACGATTCTCCCCAAATCAATGCTTAAAGAGATTCCTCAAAAATAAACCCTATCACAACAAAAGACATAAACATACATGATGCTACCAAAAAAGTACCTGGTAGACCTCCCGAACTTGAGGACTGAAAAAGAGCACGGACATAGTCTTCTGGTACCCGAAACAAAGGCAACGAGATGTGTTCTCGTCGTCCCTCCGATGCTTAAATCAGACAGAGAATTTATATGAGAACGTATACTGAAATTGTATGTAAAAGCGTACCTGAATAATGGATTTGGGTCGTGTAATTATAGACGTAGGTAGTGTACTTCTAGTAGGATTGAATTAGTTGGATGTTCTTATCCAATAGAGTCCTACTTGCTAAGAGTATTTTATTTGTAATATAATTGCATGACCAATGACGCTATCGTTGACATAGAATTCTTGTGGACGTAGGAGTCCTGGGTTGAGGTGTTTGAATTATATTAGAGTCCGTAGAAGGTAAGATTTCTTATGGGCTTGACAAAATGGGGGGTTCGGTATGAAGGGAATAGCTTGAGGACTCATGAACCCCGTATATCAAAAGGATGCTCGAGGACTTATGCCCGAGGACACCACTGACCAGATCACGATGATGCAAGTCACCACTCCTCGGGTGTATTACCCCGAGGACTATGTGCCCCAATATGTGATGAGCAAGACCCTGCGAGTCCTTGGGAAAATCACCTCGGGAGGTTGCCAAAAATGACTACATCATTGGCCCTCGTGCATCCATGTCAGAGGCTTGCGCGATATGCAAGTTTCTGGGATGAGATATACAAGCATGTCGGGTGATGGGTATGCTCATGCCAAGAGATAGGCGAGCTCATGCCAACATAAGAGCGTGCTTATGCCTAGAGGTTGGCGAGCTCATGCCAAGGTATAGGCATGCCAAAGTCTAGAGGTCAGGGAGCTCATGCCAAGGAGTGGTCATGATCATGCCTAGAGATAGGCGAGTGCTCATGCCTAGAGGTTGGCGAGCTCATGCCAAGGTATAGGCGTGCCAAGGTCTAGAGGTCAAGGAGCTCATGCCAAGGAGTGTTCATGCTCATGCCTAGAGATAGGCGAGCTCATGCCAAGATAAGGGCGTGCCAAAGCCTAGGAGCTCATGCCAAGGAGTGGTCATGCCCATGCCTAGAGATTTTCAAGCTCATGACAAGTTGATAGGCACTCTCGATCCCTACCTTAATAAAAATTTAAAGGGAACGAGCTCGACCCCAATATTGTCAAAATTTTAAAAGAAAATTATGCACAGACCTTGTTTAAAAATTTTAAAGGAAGGAGCTCGACCTCGAGCTCATTAAAAATTTTTGAGAGGTTTAGACCCTGACCTCGTCAAAAATTTTGAAAGAGGAGAGCTTGACCTCAAACATGTTTTAAGGTAAGGGATGGATCCCTACTTTATTTAAAATTTGAAAAGAAGGGCTCGAGCTGAAACTTTGTTAAAATTCTGAAAAGAACGAGCTCGACGAATAGACAATAGTTCATATAGGAGACATAGCCCGAACTTAATGTGCGATAATTATCTCGAGCCCTTGTGGCTGGGATTTGATAATGCATTGAGCTCGAGGACAGACCTCGAGCCCAATGTGTAATAATATCCCGAGCCCCATGGCTGGGATTTTGACATTGAATTGAGCTCGAGGACATAGCCTGAGCCCATTTTAAAAATAATATCCTGAGCCCTTATGGCTGGGATTTGGAAACGAATTGAGTCGAGAACAAAGCCCGAGCCTCATTTAAAATATTATCCTAAGCCTTGTGGCTGGGATTTGAAAATGCATTGAGCTCGAGGATAGGCCCTGAGCCCAATGTGAAATAATATCCCGAGCCCTTGTGGCAGGAATTTTGACAATGAATTGAGCTCGAGGACATAGCCGAGCCCAATTTAAAAATAATATCCCGAGCCCTTGTGGCTGGGATTTTGACATTGAATTTAGCTCGAGGACATAGTCGAGCCCAATTTAAAAATAATATCCCGAGCCCTTGTGGCTAGGGATTTTAACAATGAATTGAGTTCGAGGACATAGCCCCAAGCCCATTTTAAAATAATATCCCGAGCCATTGTGGCTAGGATTTGATAAGGTATTGAGCTCGGGGACAGGCTAGAGCCCAATATGAAATGATATCACGAGCTCTATTACCATGGATTTGAGAATAGGTTGAGCCTCACAAGCTTGAGATAGACCGTGGTCAGGTTTTTTACTTGATGCATTGCGGGACTTGGATGTGCTTACCCGTGGTAAGGCTTAGAGCACCAGTGCGGGATAAGGCTTGAAGTTCTTGCTCGAGGCAAGGCTTTGAGAGCTTGCATAGAACAAGGCTTTGGTACTTGCTCATGACAGGGATTTTGATGGTGTCTGCTCGTGACAAGGCTTTGGTGCCTGCACGTGACAGGGATTTTTTGAGGCCTACTTGTGGCAGGCCTTTTGATGATGCCTGCTCGTGACAGGTCTTTTTTGGGGCCTACTCGTAGTAGGTCTTCTTTTGCGCCTACTCGTTGCAGGCTTTTGATGGTGCCTTTGCGTAACAGGGCTTTCGGTGCTTGCGCGAGGCAAGGCTTTAGTGCTTGCGCACAACAGGTTTTTTTTGGTGCCTGCTCACGACAGGTCTTTTTCAGCTTGTTCCCTTTGGAAGAAAACATGTGTCGTGTGGTTCCAACTTTCTTTATATAAACTTTCCTACCTTCTAGAGACAAAATAAGCTCGTAAGCCTTGTCAAAATAACTATCTAAGTAAATAAGAAAATACATAGGGCGTACTAGCCCGAATAAAGGTAAACTAACCAAAAAAGCATAGGGCATGCAAACCCAAGTAAACTAAACTAAACAAGCCAAAATGGAAACCAAAAAATAAAAATAAATCCTAAGCGATCATCAATCTTCGCTATGCTCGACCCTGACCTCTATCAGTTCTTCTTCTGGGACAAATTTTTGCTGGTTCTCTAGTTCAAGCTCAAGGGTCAATACTTGCATGACATCAGTGCTCATTCTCCGAACACAAGTAACATAGCACTGCCTTGCTGCTTTCTGATCTCCACGCAAGATCCCTATACCGTCACTTATTGGAACTTCATAACAAGATGGAAGGTAGATACAATGGCCCTAATTTTATTGAGCAGTAGTCTCCTGATGATGACATTGTAGGCCATCAAAGCATGGACTACATGAAAGGGAGTGACTTCTGTCACCTGCTTTTGCCCTGAGCCCAATGTTAGGGGAAGATCAACGATTCCTTCCGGGATGATTGTTCCACCCCCAAATCCCTGGAGCGGTGTTTTGACTGTCTTGAACTGGTTAACAGAAATACCTATCTTCATGAAGGCCTCTTGGGACAACACATTGGCCGCACTTCCATTGTCAACCAAGACCCTCCTTACTTCAGAGTTGGCGATGATGACAAATATGACCAAGGCATCGTCATGGGAGTATGTTATGTCTTCTGAGTCCTTCGATCCAAATGTGATGTCTTTCATGTCGTTGGGAGCTGTCATTTGTATGGATCTGTGTCATCGGGCATATTGTTTGTGCCCACTATTTGAATCTTCTCCTGAGGCAATCCCCCAGATTATAAGGTTGATGGCACCTGCTTAAAGTTGGTTACCTCCCCCAGATTCTGTGGTCTTCCCATTGTTACGATCATTCCTGGGATACTTGTCATGCCTGATATACTCTTTTAGGAATCTTCTTTTTATCAAAGCTTCAATCTCACGTTGAAATGTAATGCAATCCTTTGTAGTATAGCCATGGTCACGATGGTAGTCACAGTACTTGTTCTTGTCGCTGGACTCAGGAGGAGACCTCAACCTCGATGGCCACTTGAACTCCTTCATATCTTTCATTTCCATCAATATGTTCGACCTAGAGTTGTTCAAATGTGTGAGTGTTGGTGGTGTGCCCTGCTTTTGCTTTCCTTTGGTGAGGTCTTGCTGTAGATACAACTCACGCTGCCTCTTGTGTCGGCACCATCATAAGTCAGACCAACTTTCATTAGATTCAATGTTTCTTCCATATTAATGTATTTCTCTCCTCGGGTCAGAAGCTTGGTCACTGACTTTGGGAGAGTTTTTGATAAACTCATCTTGAATGCTTCACATCTTATAGCATGGGTGAGGGCAGAAACTGCTGTTGTGATATGGAGATCGAGGATCTGAAGTCTTTCTTTATTAAACCTCTTAATGAAGTCATGTGGGGTTTCATTCTGCCCTTGACGAAGTTGCATGAGGGAAGTCGCTGTCTTGTTGATGCGCTTACTACTGGCAAAGAAGGCAGAGAACTTATCGGTTAGATCTGAGAAAGAGGCTATGGAATTGGGCTCTAAGGTTGAGAACTAGTCCCTGGCTGCGTGGGTCAACGTTTGAGGAAAAGCTTTGCACATCACCTGGTCTAGGGTAACTTGCAAGTTCATGACATCAGTATAGATATTAAGATGGTTGATGGGGTCGGTAGTTCCATCATATTTTCTTATACGGGGGTACTTAAATCTGTTTGGTAGGGGGAATGATAATACCTCAGGAGTGAAAGGGGTGTTACGGATAAAACCCATTGACCCTCGAGCATTCCTCTGTAGGCCAGCTGTAATTCCTTCTTGAATGATTCGGGCAATCTCACTGGAATCCATGGCGACTGATCTCAAGCCTAAGGCCATATTGTGAATTCCCGAGATTCCCACTCCGCCGTTACAAGGTTTGGTGGTTGGGCCTGAGCATCATCCATAAAAACCACCATGCTCTGCCTGCGCTGGTGACAGATGCGAATTTCTTTGACTTAACAGTTGCGTGAGTGTGGCCACTTGCTGACAGAGCTCTTCAAAGGCTTCGATTGTGACGACCGCGCGGGAGAGGTGCTGGCATCTCTGATGATTCTTCTTGAGGGACATGATGATCTTCAGGAGGAGGATGAAGATCTGGAACGGATGAGCTTGCTGGAGGAAGACCTAAACGTGTGTTTACAATGGCTTTTGGTAGCGTTTCCCACAGATGGCACCAATGATGCTACCAAAAAAGTACCTGGTAGACCTCCCGAACTTAAGGATTGAAAAAGAGCACGAACAGAATCTTCTGGTACCTGAAACAAAGGCAACGATATGTGTTCTTGTCGCCCATCCGATGCTTAAGTCAGACAGAGAATTTATATGAGAACGTAGACTGAAATTGTATGTAAAAGCGTACTTGAATAATGGACTTGGGTCATGTATTTATAGAGGTAGGTAGTGTACTTCTAGTAGGATTGAGTTAGTTGGATGTTTTTATCCAATAGAGTCCTACTTAATAAGAGTATTTTATTTGTAATATAATTGCATGACCAATGACGCTATTGTTGACATAGAATTCTTGTGGACGTTGGAGTCCTGGGTTGAGGTGTTTGAATTATATTAGAGTCCGTAGAAGGTAAGATTTCTTATGGGCTTGACAAAAAGGGGGGGTTCAATATGAAGGGAATAGCTTGAGGACTCATGAACCCCGTATATCAAAAGGATGCTCGAGGACTTATGCTCGAGGACACCACTGACCAGATCACGATGATGCAAGTCGCCACTCCTCGGGTGTATTACCCCGAGGACTATGTCACCCCGAGAACTATGTGCCCCAATATGTGATGAGCAAGACCCTGTGAGTCCTTGGGAAAATCACCTCGAGAGGTTGCCAAAAGTGACTACATCAATACTTATTCCAAATTGATCGAAAGGACAAATAGGGAAAAATATTAAAAGCAATAAAAAAGACGCATTCCCAAATCGAACCTACAAGGGTCTGGTCATGCGTCTCTCCGGCATACAATCCCTTCAGCCCGAGGACCATTTGTGCTTCTTGCTCTCCCATTGATCCAAGAATAGTGCTGCTATATCTTGTCCTCCATCATTATCACTGAGGTCAAACTTCGGCCTCAAATTGATCTCGGACTTAATTAGACAATGTCATTTACAAAGAGGGATGCATAATTTATTGAGTGAGGCACAAGTCTAATTTCAATTTTGGTGAAAAATAAAAAGAAAGCCGATGAGTAAGATGAAGATATAAGTACATATTAATTATTGTTTTAAATAGCTCTCATGACCAAAGTCAGTTTGATGAGACTTGTACCGTCATTTCAATTTCTTATAGAAGAGTTCCCTCTATCTTAATGTTCGAAAAATATTTTTAAAATAGCTTCCTATTTCAACAGAGCCTTTAGGTTGATTAAACTTTCTCCAGATACTCTACTAACTAAAAGAAACACTTCTATAAAAAAATAATCAAACAGATTCAAAAGCAATGTTTAGGTCAGAAAACTCATTTTGACTTCTCCAATTAATACCAAATGGGCTCTCTTTTGATCAATAAAACTTTAACGACCGCAACCACACTGCTGCTTTAATTACAAAATAACTAACTCAATATAATAAAAGCCTGTTTGGTGGGGATTACAATTAGATTTTTAGTAAATTTTGATAAAAGTTTTTAAAATGTGTGGGTGAAAGTGGTGAGACCCATAAAGATATGATTAATATTGATCATTTGACTTTGATTTAAATTAAAATTTGAATTAAATCAATACCAAACATGAGCTAAATAAGTGTTCGTCTTACAGTTTAAAAATATATTATTACATTGATTATATGAATTATTTTAGCCTATTCTGTCGAAGATGTTATTAAGCCCCTGTTTGATCCCCATTTTGGGGGTAAAATATATTATGAAATAGTGATTTTTTGGAGAACGCATGATTAAAAGTTAAAGAAAAGTTTTTAAAATACATGTATAATTATTTTATGGGAAAATATGCGGTTGAAAATGAGATTTAAAAAAATGCATTTTTGGAAAAATGGGGTTCAAACAGGGGCTAAAAGTCGTTTTTAATTATTCTTGACTTTTCCGAAAAACCCTACCTAATTATGCTCCATATGGTAGCTTAAAAATTTGAATTCTTTGTTTGAGCTTCCCATATTAATACCGTATTGATCATGCAGCTCCAGTTTAAAAAATTTAACCTTGTTAATATCGAAAAGAAGAATAATTTTTTTTAATGGCTGATGCGAACCCACTAGTAATTGAAGCTACGAAATCCCCACGAGATTGAATTATAACTTAAGAAAGCCAGTAAACCATAGTTTTGAGATTGATTAAAAAATATTGAACCAAGCAACCAACAAATCGCTGATAATATGTTGACCTATTGATCACAAGACTTGAGAATCTCACACTGTTTGTTTGAACGCTACAAGAATTAAAATTTTGATAAGTTCGGTAAATTAGATTAATGAAGAACAAGATGAAAGCAATTTGCCTCTCAACTGAATATATGATAAAAGTTATTTTCATTGCAGCTGCATAGTATGTTTATATGCGGTCACATAGAAGATCAAAAATATGCTATACCATTCTCTGTAAACAAGCATGCGATCGCAAGCCTCTGGCAACTATGCAGTTGCATAGTTCATCCGTCCAGGTTGTTCGTTCGTTGCTTGAATCACGTTGAACCATCTTATTTCCTCTACCGAGCCTAACATGAAACTTGTCCCTTTACTTGCAATGTCGATGTTTCGCCCATTGTAACTTGCACAAGTAGTCTCATTGCTTCCTTGATCCTCTTTGCTTGCGACCGAGTCATCAGCCCTTCTTTGACGATCAACGGATCTTTGCCCAGACTTGTGTTTGTTTCCTTCGCTTTATGGATCACATCATCCCTTCCATTTTCAAAAGGATTCGACCTCGAATTAGTACCTGCATCAAAGAGAGAAAGATCGGACACATTGAAGGTAACAGAAACATTATATTCACCATGAAAATCTAAATTGTAAGCATTGTCATTAATCCTTTCAAAGATTTGAAATGAACCATCTCCACGTGATTGCAACTTTGATTTTCTTTGTTTCCTAGAAAGCGTTCATTACTCAAGTGTACCAAAACCCAATCATAGGGTTAAAATACTTGCCAATGTTGATGTTTCGCCCATTGTAACTTGCACAAGTAGTCTTATTGCTTCCTTGACCGTCTTTGCTTGCGACCGAGTCATCGGCCATTCTTTGACGATCAATGGATCTTTGACTAGACTTGTGTTTGCTTCCTTCGCTTTATGGATTACATTATCCCTTCCATTTTCAAAAGGATTCGACCTCGAATTAGTACATGCATCAAAGAGAGAAAGATAGGACACATTGAAGGTAACCGAAACATTATATTCACCATGAAAATCTAAATTGTAAGCATTTTCATTAATCCTTTCAAATATTTGAAATGGACTATCTCCCCTTGATTGCAACTTTGATTTTCTTTGTTTCCTAGAAAGCGTTCATTTCTCAAGTGTACCAAAACCCAATCATAGGGTTAAAATGTAATGCTTTTCTGCCCTTTCTTTGCTTGTGACATATAGTGGTTGCTTCTTCTTTTTTTTTCCCCCTTTTCAATTTGTATTCTTACCTTTTCATGAAGTGATTTCACCAATTTGGCCTTCTCCTTTCTATCTAAACTACCTCGTTCATTAACACGTAAAGAAATTAGATTCAAAGGTGTTAAATGGATTAAAACCACATATAGTTTCAAATGGCGAACATGAAGTAGTAAAGTGTATGGCCCTATTATATGCAAATTCAATGAATAGTAAGCATTCTTCCCAACTCTTCAAATTTTTATTAACTACAGTGCATTGCAATTGTATCACGGTCCTATTAACTATACCTCAGTTTTGTCTATCTGTTTGTGGGTGACAAGTTGTAGAAAACAATAACTTTGTGACTAACTTACTCCACAAAACTCTCCAAAAGTGACTAAGGAATTTGACATCCTTATCCGATACAATGCTCCTAGGAATGCCACGTAAACGCACTACTTCTTTAAAGAATATTCGCTATATTGGTGGCATCATTAAT